CTAATACAGGTGAACCTTGATAAGTCAAACCTCTGTGAGTCAAATTCCTCCCTAAGTCAAATTTTTTTCAAGTCCCTGTCCAAATTCCCTTAAAATCAATACATTAAAAACCTCCCTAACTCGAATTCTTTTTTTCTAAAATCTCTGTAAGTCAAATTTTCTGATGCCTTCTGGTTATTATTTCTGTGAAATGTGAGAGAGAAAATGATTAAAACAAATAATTTGATGCATCTTGGAAGGAATTCAAAGACAAATGTAGCAAATGAACCCCTGCCTCCAAGTTCAGCACAGTAAAAACTCATCAAGAGGCAATTTCAGGCCAAGAATCTCTTCATTTACATTTTTCTGCAATATTTTTACTAATTCTCAGTGCAAGAATTTTTTCCTCAATTCAGAACTTGCAAAAATCAAAACCTTCCTAATTCAAATTTTTTCCTGGTCCCTAGAAATTCGACTTACAGAGGTTCAACTATATACTCAAACCCAAAAAAGTGCACCCGGATTCAGGCGACATCTACCCCTCAATCAGGAAAATCGCAAAAGTTGGACAAAACACATGAAAATTTCAAGAACTTAAATATTTCGTTCACCATCAAATGAAAATTTGCAGAACATTGTTCAACTACCAAAATGCTGCAGGAAGGAAAGACAAAATTGAAATCTTGGGATCAGTTTTGTCAATTTCAGGCATATTTGTAACAGTTGAAAATATTTCTAGAAATCTTCACACATCATCTGACAAGAGCAAAATTTATCCTACTAACTAAGGTCGAACAGGGAGTTGTCCCATTTACAGTTAAAAAGTTGGGAATGAGTCAGGGGAGTAAAGTTTAGTAACGAAATTTTTTAGGTGGAAAAACGGAGTAGTAGTACTAAAGCAAAATCACCCAAACTTTTCCCAAATTATAAAAAGTTGCTGAAGTTGCCACAAATTCGCCAGTGTAAACGCGAAAAAAAAGCAAGCTAAACCGGAGTTAGAGGCTTATTTAAATTTAGGTTTCGTTCTTAGTCGGGTAGTTTTACTAAATGTTTAAGTTTTTAATTTGCGTTTAACTAAAGAGTCTCGGAACTTGACTTTTGTGTTTCAAACGACTTTGAAAAAGACGCTCTGCTTTACTATTTGACACGGAGGGACCAAAACGTGCACAAATTTAAAAATTACATTATCTCCACGCATTGAAATTGATAACTGTAAGAAAAAAAAAGGAGAAGACAATTCATTTTCCGTTCAACTTGACAAGTGATAATGCTTCTAACAAGTCAAAAATTTCTCAGAGGAAGAGATCACCCGTAGACTAACCGAAATTTGCAGTCTACTCAGTTCAGATGTTATTTTAAACTTAGCATCGATGAAAAAAAAAAAAAACAATCCTCAACGATTTAATGATACACTAGTCATTTAAAATCCGAATCGGTGCACAATTCTGGTCCACTCCATAAACTCGAAAATACGCACGTGAATCTCAGAATTATCCTGATTTCTGCGAGGTTCAAAAGCTGAGAAATTTGCGTCTTATATTCGCGTAAATGCGGTACAGTAGTCAATCAACTGACACTGTAATCATGTCATGACATGATAGTTAAAAGAAAAACGTGCGTTTTTTTTTTTTGTCCGCTTCTGTGCACACTGCAGTCGAGCCTTTTATTTCGCTTCCTTCTTTTCGCTATGCTGCATTTAGTGTCGTTCCCCAACAAGGCACAAATATTTCGAAAAAATACGCGTTACGATACAAATTTTTCATCCGGTTTGCTTTGTAAAAACAAAAAAAAAATGCAAGCGGTCATCACAAATGTCCGAATATTGAGCATCAGAATCGCATTTCAAAACGGTGCGCCAAGCGGGAAAAAAAATGCTGCTAAAACATGCCAATAAATAATCACACGTGTTGCGAGTCAAAAAAAAGAAAAAAACCACTGGGCTACAAGTTTTTCTTTGTTTCCTCTACATGCAAAAAAAAAAATATTTGCACGCATGAAGCGAAGGCACAGATTCGGTATTCACTGGTTCGAAGTGTTCGACAATAATCACGAGATTTGCTTGCGTTCATTTTGAAACTGGCTGGAATATTAGATGAAGCCTGAAAATATGACAAAAAATGGTTAAAACCTCTCTCTCTCGAAAAAAAAAGCCCCACTCAAAACAGCTTGGTTCCAATATTTATTGGAAAAAATCTGGTATCGCTCTTACATTGCGGTACTTAAAACTTTGTTCAATAAGCCACGGACATTCCTCAAAGCGACGGTTTCTGTCTCCCGAATATGAAATACGATCGATAATTTCGTTCTCAAAAATCACGACGAGGTAATCGGTACCATGTTTTTTTCTGACCGTCAATTATTGAGACTTTCTTTGCTGCACATAATTGGCACATTGAGCGGATTTCACACAGTTTATGGTTTATGAAAACTAAAGAGAATTTCACCAATTTATATCTAAAGGTATTCTTGCGATTCAACACTGATCGAGCTGAAAGAAAAAAGGGCATTGAATAAACAAGTCCAAAAATCAAGTCTTCGCCTTTTAGTACGTGACTAACCGAAAAAGCATCACAACCTTAAATTTTATATTTTTTAGAAGAATAACCTCGTCAATTGAAATCGACAATAATTATAATCATGATACTGAGATAATTAAATTCGAATAAAAATTATATGATCACGCACATCAACAACATTAAAAGAAAAACTTCGTTAAATTAAAAATCTATCCTTGAATAAAAAAAAACAGCCAGAAGGATACGGTACTGTAATCAGTATTCAAAATTTGAAATTACAAAAAGAATCAGTATTTTTCGAAAGAAATTCCCGTTCTTGGGACGTTAACAGAAAATTGGTTTCTTTTTCTTTTATAATGTTATTTCCGAGAAAATAACTGGAAGATCATTAAAGCCAAAATCATGGTCTGATCAACAAGAATCGATTAGTTCTTCACAAGAACCAACAGTAGTCACATATAAGCTACAATTGATACGATTGGACATAAATCGACGAGTCACGCGTTTTCCGGTCAGTCACACACTAGAACCCAGGAAAGTAGCAGCAATCGCCAGAAAAAAAACTACAGCAACCCTAATTAATTCGTTCCCAGAATCCTTCTTCTCAAATAGCGTCAACAATTCGAAGCACTGTCTTAGGTTAAATAAATCCCTCCTGCCAATACGAAAAAGATCTTCATGTCACTGAATTCAACGCGACCTTTCAAAGCAAAAAGGAAACTATAGTACATCACCACCGTGACCATATAGAGTAAGACTCGATTAATAAATTAGCATATAAAAAAAAGAAACCTGTTAAGAGCATCATAAAAACGAGACACAATGCGCCAATGCAACCCTGTCAGGCAAAAAAAGTTTACGGAAATCACAAACGGTTTGATATTTCGTCAATACGTTTAAAAACCGGTATATCATCCCGCTCCTCCTCTTCTTTTTTTTTCTCCCGCGGTGACACGACATCAGAACCCCGTGTTTCGAGATTGGTCCGTATTTTTCCTCTCTTTTTTTTTCTTTCCCTGATTTCCCCCCCTTTCTTCGTCCAGACGAAAAGCAACACACACAAAATAAAAATTCTTTTGAAAATGCGTTTCGGGATGGAATTAGTCCCGTTTCTGGGCCCACTTGAAATCGTCATCCCTCGGTTTCATGCCCGTATAATGCTCAATCACGGTTTCCAGTTTCCCCCAAAACCCGATTCTCTCCAACGGATAATTCAACCATCCCGTCGTGATGCAAAAATACGTTTCGTGCGGCGCCACGTGATGAATCCTATGATGCCTCCTGGGCAGGATGACGTGCCATCGTTGCAGCGTTTCCACGACGCTCGGAAGCTTGGAATACGTGTGCGACCACTTGTGGATCTGGTTCGTCATGGCGACAAAGACGCCGAGGAGCGTGAGGAAGGCGAACCACGGGTACAGGGCCTGCACCCGGGCATACTCGGCCGTCAGGAAGGTGTAGGCGATCCAGGCGGACGCGGGAAGGCAGAGCATGAAACTGTCCCCGTTGGTTTCCACGAAGTCGTGTCGCGTGATGGAAGTCGGGTCAATGTGGTGTTCCCGGAAGGGACGGATAAAGTGCTTGCCGACGACAGGAAGATCGACGGAGCCCCAAGTGTCGGCGCCCCAGTGGACGAGGCCCGACATGAAGTCCGCCGTGAGGACGCCGCACACGGCACTTATGGCAACCTGCGAGAAATATAAAAAAAACCCGTAACTTTCTTAGATGGCATGCACAAGTGGGACCCCGAGATTGCGGACGTAATCGGTGCTTGGATCCTCGTCCTCATGTCGGATCACGTTTTCGCATAGATTTCAACGCGGAAATATTTAATCGGTTCTCTTCTTTAATAAAAAGTAGAAATAATTCCCCCAAAAAATTGAATAAAAATGTTTCCCCTCAACTCCCAAGATACAGATTAACAACTATGGGGCAGAAACCCACATATAATCTGATCTCTTGAAATCAAATGGAGCTCAAAAAGCAAAGAATAAGAAGATTGTAACTGTGGGAAGAAAAAGCATAAATTTTGAACCTTCATGTACACATTTGTTTAATATTCTTGGCAATTTTTTGGAAAGGTTGGCAGGCGTCATACTTGAATGAAAAAACTCCAGCAAGAAATCCTCCAAAAGTGATGATTACATTATTGATGAGATTTTAAGTCTTGCTAAACTTAGCACGGAAGATTAAAAAAAAAAACTCTGGAAAAATAAGCACAAAATCAGCTTGTTTTTTTTTTACAATGAATAGTGTAAATTTATAAATTTTAATGAAATTTAACTGAAATTTTTGTGAAAATGAATAAATTAATTTTCCAATAGGCAATCAAAATAAATTTAAAAAATCCCATTTTTCTGGAATATGTTTGCAAAGCTACAATTCTACTAATTTGGCAATTCTACAAGGCTATGCTCTTGATTCAAGGCAAAGCACTGAATAAAAGTCAAAACTTTTAATTTAAAAGGGGAAAAATTATAAACCTGCAAAAGTATTGTCGATTGTGGCCCACAAGGACTCTCCATCTCTAGAATATGGCCATTGAACACAAAGAATTTATTAATGTGACCCATTGCCATATCTGAGGTGGGCAGCACTGATCTAGTATTCTAGTCAATCTGGAGCATGTAACAGTACAAAAGGAGCATCAAGAGTTTCCATGCGCGAGTCTGTGTGTGTGTGTGAGAGAGAGAGAGATCAAGTCTCAAAAATGTAGGTCATGTTAGTTTTGAATTAACTATGGTTAGTACATCATGACCTCAGCCATGGTTCAGTTGGTTTATGGATACGTCATGTTAGTTTGTTGATAGGTTACGTCATGTTAGGTTGAGTTAGCTCGATCTTGGCCTCTTGGGTTAGGTTTCTGACAACAACACATGAATAAAAAAATAAAACTGAATCCTTCTTGGTTACATCTTTGTAACTATGGGAAGAAAAAGCATAAATTTTGAACCTTCATATACACATCTATTTAATATTTTTGGCAATTTTTAGAAAGGTTGGCAGGTGTTATACTGTATAATTGAATGAAAAAAACTCCAGCAAGAAATCCTCCAAAAGTGATCATTGCATTATTGATGAGATTTTAATTTGAAGAAAGTAAGGGAATTTGAACCTAAGTTACATTACTGTACGTATGTTACTCAACATACTTTTGTCCATCTACCTATTCCTGAGCTCATTAACCATTGCTTCACAGAAGGAACAAATATAAATTTTTTCCCATAAAAATTGGTGAGCGCATCTTTGGCAGGGTCCTGATTTTTGCCAAAGTGTTGTCTCAAAAACCTTGATGAGCATCTTAAATCAGGGCGGATGGTACTTCAGTAAAGACAATAAGTTTAAACTATCATACAATACTGTAATGATGTTGTTCATTTAAAATCATTCATTGTTGTGTGATCAACATGTAAAAAGAACCTTTACATAGATATTGATTTTTTGGCTTGTAAATTATGGTTAGGAGGAGGAGTATGCATGGAGTGCAGTGCGAAGGACGAAAGTATAGATTAAATGGAGATATTTAGGTAGAACCTTCTAAAAGTTTTAAACGCAGTTTTAGAAACTAAACCATGTTTACGTAGGCAAGGTCGTTTACTTTTTCCCCACTCCAGTCCACTCGTGCAAAAAATAAAATAATTACGCAGCGTATTTACTCTCCATTAATTAGTTCATTCAATCTCAGATGATCCTTACATTCCAAAAAAACTATTTTGCAGAAATTTCATTTTTTCCGCGCACAGTTGAAAATCAAAATTGAGTGTCTTAAGAAAGAAAGCAGCCAGCAAACAACAGGTATCAAAAATACAATACAGCGTATTTTAGGTGACTGTATCTATAACGCCTGGTCTTTTATGTTTTCACATACACGAACTACGATGTTTCACCGTATCACTTCGCTCCGATATTTCCGTTGTTGAAATAAATTACTGCGCCGAACAAGAGAACCGATAGAAAACACAAGGTGTGTTTGGAGCTAAAAGAAAAAAGATAGGAAATAGAAACTCGCAATACTTTTGGTGACGTATAACTTTAGAAATATACATGAACTGTACTGTACCAAAGATGACACTCACCTGCACCCACCGCCGGGACTCGAAGTGTATGAAGAGGTAGACGATGTTCACTGACATACAAGCAATACAAAGCACGACGGATAGCATTTCTTGAACTCGTTTGCCTTTGGAATAGAGCTGTGCTAGTTCTTGGGCACCACGGTGATTCGGACCCCATCGGGGTCGCACTGTTTCAACTGCCGAATGCGCCGAGTTTCCATTCACATCGTCTTCCGGCATCGAGTACTTCACGATTTCTTCCGGCGTTTTCACACTGACATTCATCATTGTCTCAAGTAATTCGGCCATGTTTAAATAATAATTTTGTCAGCCACTACGGCGCATGCACTCCAATGTGAAGAACACTGATGGAAGAATTTTTTTCTCCGAAGATGCCAAGCTTTCAACTGGGAGGCATGCGCCGTATGAAGTCACGTCTGGAAAAAAAGATGAGCTGGACACTTTTAGATAATCTGAAATTCTCATTAAAGATTATCACACATCACTAAAAACGTGATTATGATTTGCGCGGCACAAATCAAAATTTCATTTTTAACACCAGGACTCAGCTGAGTAATCAGCTCGAACAAATTTAATCAATGTCATGCAACAGAGATACCATCTCACACTCTTCAAAAACATGCAGCTGATTATCACAGCTTCCCTCGCGGAGGATACGCGACCATGCTCACAATTTCATGGATACGGCTAGATAAGATGTTCCATCCTGCCGTCAAGAACGAGATGAATCATCAACATCTGCACAAGGGTACAAACACGTGGGTTCAGAGTACCTCAGAGTAACGCACTCCATTCCTAATTTCGAGAGCACATAGGTTCCATTCTGAAAATTTTAGAGCGTTAAAATGAATATGAGTTCATCGTTATTTTGTCGAAATGTAGTTACTCAACAGCGATGAATACCATCGTGTAAAACTTCCTGGATTCAACGTTGATTCAAGAAATAAAGTAATTCAAAAGCACCGAAATTCTGAAATCAAAATTCGATCCACTTTCAGAAGATGCCACCGCATGACGACGGGCATTAAAAACACCATCATGCTCCTTGTCCTCCGATGGAATAACACAAGGACATGAGGCGTACAGACAGAAGCATCCATGACGGTTTCATAAATAAATTTTCTGAGTGATGTTCATGCGCTCTACCATCAAATTTATCATGGCGTCCTCCGTCCCGTTCAAGTGATTTCGTTGTGCGCGCGGGAACGAATGATCATGCGATTCTGCGTCGGGAAAGTGCGTAGTACGGTTTTCTCTTCGTATTCCAAGTCGATGGAACGCTTATCACGCATTCGAAGTTGTTCAAAATTTTTTTGCGAAGTATGTTCCGATAGACTGAATGTATGTAGCGCGAACTGTACAGTATCTGGCAGAACTTCGTCCGCTCTTGCGTAAGGAAAAACGAACTCAGCTTGGTTACATCTTCCAGGAGATGTGAATTGACGTTCTCATGCGATTGTCCGTTTTATCCTTTGTCTGGGTTCAATGCTAATGGACGATATTGTCTTCATTCCAACAGTACCGTGGGAAAAGATAATGATGGATCACAGCGAGAAACTGTCGGCGTGTTTGAAAAAGTTCGGAACGGCATTAGCAGCGATGATGGAAAAAGTACAATGCTCTATTTGGTGAGTCATCATCGTGAATATTTTAATGCATCTGTTCAGTATTTCACGTTTTATCTGAACCTTCGGCATTGCAGTTTGAATGTCTTGGAACAACCTGCGCAAACGAAGTGCAAGCATATCTTCTGCAACAAATGTATCACAGGGACTTTGAACAATCAGCAGAATTGTCCGCTATGCCGCGATCCAATCAGTCGACGACAAATATGGCCTGCACTCGCCCTGAACGAAGCTTGTAAGACTCTCCCGCGTTGCTTTCAGGAGATCGACGCGAAAATATTGGAGATTTGTGAGTCCTTTTGTGTGTCTCTTCTTTCGCGGAGTGACGTTCCGTTCACTTGCAGGTGGGAAATCGTTAGAAGAGGTCTTTCCTACGGTCCTTGTACCGGCAAAATCGTCGAAAACTCCAAAACTCGATGACGAGCTGCGAAAAGGTTTGTTTATCGCGCGTAATATTTTTCATAGGCTGTTCACGGCCTGGCGGGGATATTGTAGGGAGCGCTGAAAATTGATCTTTCCTCGTAGAAACTGCTGAGTTGTATCTATGCCTTAATTACTGTTTCGCACGTTTTATATCTTCTTCAGCGACTAAGAGAGGAATATCGCTTATGAATGAGTTGGTGTCCGGGACTTCTAAGAAAACCAAAACCAGCAAAAGAGGTAAACTCATTCAACCGGATTTCCCCTCGTTTGTCTACTTCCTATTTACGCCTCCCAATTTCTTGGTTATCAGTTGCTGCCTCCCCTAGTGGTTCTCAAATTTTGGCCAGACTCGCAAAAGATAAGGGACCCTATCACGTCACGCTTCCTGCTTTCATATCTAATTTACCTCTATAAATCCATCTTGGAAGATTTTCAAAATTTGCGTCAAAATCTTTGATTTGGTACAAATGCATCCGTTCCAGCAAATGAAAAAGGGGTTTCCAGTCCACTCGTGCAAAAAATAAAATAATTACGCAGCGTATTTACTCTCCATTAATTAGTTCATTCAATCTCAGATGATCTTTCCATTTCAAAAAAACTATTTTGCAGAAATTTCATTTTTTCTGCGCACAGTTGAAAATCAAAATTGAGTGTCTTGAGAAAGAAAGCAGCCAGCAAACAATAGGTATCAAAAATACAATACAGTGTATTTTCGGTGACTGTATCTATAACGCCTGGTCTTTTATGTTTTCACATACACGAACTACGATGTTTCACCGTATCACTTCGCTCCGATATTTCCGTTGTTGAAATAAATTACTGCGCCAAACAAGAGAACCGATAGAAAACACAAGGTGTGTTTGGAGCTAAAAGAAAAAAGATAGGAAATAGAAACTCGCAATACTTTTGGTGACGTATAACTTTAGAAATATACATGAACTGTACTGTATCAAAATCTTCCGGCGTTTTCACACTGACATTCATCATTGTCTCAAGTAATTCGGCCATGTTTAAATAATAATTTTGTCAGCCACTACGGCGCATGCACTCCAATGTGAAGAACACTGATGGAAGAATTTTTTCTCCGAAGATGCCAAGCTTTCAACTGGGAGGCATGCGCCGTATGAAGTCACGTCTGGAAAAAAAGATGAGCTGGACACTTATAGATAATCTGAAATTCTCATTAAAGATTATCACACATCACTAAAAACGTGATTATGATTTGCGCGGCACACATCAAAATTTCATTTTTAACACCAGGACTCAGCTGAGTAATCAGCTCGAACAAATTTAATCAATGTCATGCAATAGAGATACCATCTCGCACTCTTCAAAAACATGCAGCTGATTATCACAGCTTCCCTTGCGGAGGATACGCGACCATGCTCACAATTTCATGGATAAGGCTAGATAAGATGATCCATCTTGCCGTCAAGAACGAGATGAATCATCAACATCTGCACAAGGGTACAAACACGTGGGTTCAGAGTACCTCAGAGTAACGCACTCCATTCCTAATTTCGAGAGCACATAGGTTCCATTAAGAAAAATTTAGAGCCTCAAAATGAATTGATCGTTATTTTGTCGAAATGTAGTTACTCAACAGCGATGGAAACCATCGTGTAAAACTTCCTGGATTCAAGGAATAAAGCAATTCAAAAGTACCGAAATTCTGAAATCAAAATTCGATCCACTTTCAGAAGATGCCACCGCATGACGACGGGCATTAAAAATGCCATCATGCTCCGTGTCCTCCAATGGAATAACACAAGGACATGAGGCTTACCGATAGAAGCATCCATGACGGTTTCATAAATAAATTTTCTGAGTGATGTTCATGCGCTCTACCATCAAATTTATCATGGCGTCCTCCATTCCCATTCAAGTGATTTCGTTGTGCGCGCGGGAACGAATGATCATGCGATTCTGTGTCTGGAAAGTGCGTAGTACGGTTTTCTCTTCGTATTCCAAGACGATGGAACGCTTATCACACATTCGAAGTTGTTCAAAATTTTTTTGCGAAGTATGTTCCGATAGACTGAATGTATGTAGCGCGAACTGTACAGTATCTGGCAGAACTTCGTCCGCTCTTGTGTAAGGAAAAACGAACTCAGCTTGGTTACATCTTCCAGGAGATGTGAATTGACGTTCACATGCGATTGTCCGTTTTATCCTTTGTCTGGGTTCAATGCTGATGGACGATATTGTCTTCATTCCAACAGTACCGTGGGAAAAGATAATGATGGATCACAGCGAGAAACTGTCGGCGTGTTTGAAAAAGTTCGGAATGGCATTAGCAGCGATGATGGAAAAAGTACAATGCTCTATTTGGTGAGTCATCATCGTGAATATTTTAATGCATCTATTCAGTATTTCACGTTTTATCTGAACCTTCGGCATTGCAGTTTGAATGTCTTGGAACAACCTGCGCAAACGAAGTGCAAGCATATCTTCTGCAACAAATGTATCACAGGGACTTTGAACAATCAGCAGAATTGTCCGCTATGCCGCGATCCAATCAGTCGACGACAAATATGGCCTGCACTCGCCCTGAACGAAGCTTGTAAGACTCTCCCGCGTTGCTTTCAGGAGATCGACGCGAAAATATTGGAGATTTGTGAGTCCTTTTGTGTGTCTCTTCTTTCGCGGAGTGACGTTCCGTTCACTTGCAGGTGGGAAATCGTTAGAAGAGGTCTTCCCTACGGTCCTTGTACCGGCGAAATCTTCGAAAACTCCAAAACCCGATGACGAGCTGCGAAAAGGTTTGTTTATCGCGTGTAATATTTTTCATAGGCTGTTCACGGCCTGGCGGGGATAGTGTAGGGAAGGAACGCTCAAAATTGATCTTTTCCTCGTCGAAACTGCGGAGTTGTATCTATGCCTTAATTACTGTTTCGCACGTTTTATATCTTCTTCAGCGACTAAGAGAGGAATATCGCTTATGAATGAGTTGGTGTCCGGGACTTCTAAGAAAACCAAGGCCAGCAAAAGAGGTAAAATCATTCAACCGGATTTCCCCTCGTTTGTCTACTTCCTATTTACGCCTCCCAATTTCTTGGTTATCAGTTGCTGCCTCCCCTAGTGGTTCTCAAATTTTGGCCAGACTCGCAAAAGATAAGGGACCCTGTATCGCTCCTTCCTTCTTAGCCGAGAAAACCTCGAAGGAACCTCAAATCCCCTCAGCCCCTGAGGCAGGAATACAAAGCCTGGAGAAGTTGGATGACCACGTTAATCGCAAGTCAAACCGGAAAAGAAAGAGGTCTTTGAAACTAAAGGAATCTGAGTCAGTTTCCTCAAGCGAGAAACCCGATGCGAATTCTGCGAGACAACCCGCAATAATTTTGCGAATCGCAAGAGACGGATGCTCCAAAGACGGGAAAGAGTACAAATCGGTTGCTTGTGCTGGTGCTGTGAATGGATTTGATTCATCTTCTGCTGATGGTTCCAAGATTCTTCCTGAGCCCAGTGAATCATCTCTTGTGCATGGATCCACTCCGAACCCGCCGAAAATATTGTCTTCCACAGTCGAGAAGATGGCGGATGTTTTTGAGCAAAAGTTCAGCGAAACCCCTCGCACCCGATCGAGAATCCTGGAGGAATCCACTTTGATGAATTCCCGGAGTAAAATTGATGTAATATCCCCGGATGAAATCACTGCTGAATCTTTCAAGACTCGGCCTCGTCAATCTTTATTAACCAGCATGGTGAATGCCGGCAGCGAAAATACTGCTTATCCGGTGAAAATTATCGCATCCCAAAAACTGACTGCAGGATCTTTGAGGAAAAAGAGTGTCAGTCATGTTGATGATGTCAGCAAAATTCGTTGTGACGTTAGTGCGAATCAGGAACACGGTTCTAAGAAAATTACGGAGAATGAGGAACAATCAATTGCTGCTGATGCGGCTCCATTGCCTGTGAAGAAGCGATTTTCGAGGCAGTCTTTTGATCTGGATGCGGAAACGGAAAACGTTCGAGCTGTCTTGTCGCAGAACATCCCCTTCGCTTTCGAAGAAGCTTCGTAAGTAAACTCGAACGACAAATGGCCGTATTTTCATTTCAGTGCATCTAGATTAGATTGTATAACTTTAAAAAAGAGCTATCTCCGAAACAAAAGAAGGGTAATTACCGAAATTTTATGTTTTGGGTTGGAGTGCTGTACACTTGTTCAGTACTGAGAAAAAGTTCGATAGAAATGCTCTTCTTCGTGAATTCCTGGTATTTAAAATTAATTTGTCGAAACAATTAGAATATCAGTACAGTATATTTAGGTTGATCCCGCCTCTTCAATCCAAAGATAATTTTATTGTCATCTGTTCTCTTTTGGAAATGACACACGAGGGCGAGGGTATTTTCGTACAGTACTTGATTCACGAAATGTTCTTGGAAGACTGTGTTGATTTAAAAGTTGTCTTTTTCCTGAAGCTAGAGAATGGCGAATTTTATTGTGTCATAACCTGATGAAGATTTAAACGTCATGAGAAATTATGTGAAATTGAAAATATATTTATGTGCATTTTCCATAAATCTGTTTACAGTATTCTTATGTCACAAGAAGTAGAGTGCATGAATAATCTTGCAAGGATGTTGCATTTTACGAACTTCTCAGGGATAATGAGTCGGAGTTTCTAGTACAATATAATTTTCTTTTGTATGCAAGTGATGGTACGGTATTACAGTAATTGCGATTGTCGACAATTCCCCATTGTGTGAGTGAGACAATGTATACTTCTATCAGATTCCAGGAACAATTGGAAATTATACTGTGATGAAAAGGCGACATTTAAAAAAATGCAAAATAACAAAGTAGAGGTTTAAAATTTTTCATCTCAAAGAATATTACGTGTTAATATAAACCTTGCTTCCAAGTTTTTTGTGACGAATTCAATGTGTTGTGACGAATTCAATGTGCCTAACAGAGTTTTTGATTTTAGAAAGCATTCATACTTTTCTAGACACTGGAGTCTTTTCTTTGTACTTGGAAAAATTAATTTTTAATCTAGCTTCTTTTATTTTTTGTTGTCCATAGTTATTTTTAAAACTAAAGTAAGAATTCGGTGGTTTACACGTCGAATTGAAAACGAACAACGTTAAATTTAAAACTTCTGAATTTCAAATTATGGAATTGTGACACTCAATTCTCAAGATTTCTGAGGACAAGTTAAACAGATTCACCGTTTTGTTGGAAAACCGGAAGAGGGCGAAAAATTCAAACGCAACCAGCTGATGTATTGATTATTGATTTACTGTATTCATAAAACCTATAATTTTTTTCGGTTTGTAAAAATTTGTCCATACTTTCCTTTTGAGCCCCTGTTTCTTGTTCAACTCTATGTCAGTTACTAAATTTGAAATTCTCCTCTTGATTTAGGTCCGAGGCTGACGCAAGTTTTGTGACGTGTCCGACACAAAACGAACCGATTATTTCACCGGAACCGTCTTCAGTTCCCTACCTTTCCGTTGATCCGAACCCACCGAATGAGCATGTCAATTCCGAAATGTCTGTTTCTACCGTCAAGGAAACTGAGACGGATTCCGTGGAATCCCGGGGAACCCTGGTTGAATTACCAGTGGGTGCCAGTGAACCCCCGGCGTCTTCGGTGATCCCAGAAACAGAGTCGGTTTCTGCCGTGGATTCATCATTAAGCGTCCCTTGTGAAATTGATCCGAAAAGTTCTTTTGAACCTGACTCAAATACTCGTCAGTGTTCTGTGGATGCTGAAGAGGTCAGTCTTGTTACGTGCTTATGCGGAATACGTATCGAATCTTTCTGCGATGGTTTTGTCTGCGACGATATTCTCTTTTTAACGTATATACAGTGAGACCCCGAGATGCAGACGTAATTGGTGCATCAAGAGTGTCACTGAGTTGAGTCTCATTTTCCCTTAGACTTACATTGTATAATTTTTATTGGTGTTTTATGGACAAAATACTCAGCATAATTCCATGAAAATAAAAATTTTCTCTGAATTTAAACTGATTCAATCAATATATTTCAACAAAATATGGACATTTTTGGAATTGAATACTGAAACCTCTGTACAGTACATTGAAATGTTGGCATTCTCTGTAAAAAATACCATTCAAGTGAAAAAGAGTGAAGGAAATCCCTCTAGATGCTGGAGGTAATTTTTTTAAATTAGCTAAAGGGATGGTAAATTGGTGAGAGAAATTCCCAAGAACTTTTCTTACATTGATTTTAGGGTTGGAAATATGTGTTTCTTGTAATTTGGCCTGAAATGTATTTGCAATTTATCACAAAATTTTGCTATATTGAGTCAGTTTCCTCATGTTGGGCCTTTTTCATGAATATTTTATGGGAAAATAAGTGCCCTTATGTTGAGTTGTCTGCATGTGGGGGTCTCACTGTACTCTTTTTCTGTGCCATAGTGTTTTCTATAACGAATTTTTTTTGTCCCTCAAATTTTTTTTTAGAGTCCACCTGCATAATTTTTTTTTCCTAAAATTCATTCACTCATCTGACTTGTTATATTTTCTGGTTGTGCTAATCTCTTCATCTTTGAGAAAGAAATTGAAAAATATAACTTTCCTTACTGTTGGACAAAGGTGATGAGAATATTGTTTGGTTACGATTTCATTTAAATGTACTGAATGTCAGGCAGTGAAAGTTTTGCGGTCTAAATTCTGAGTGCCTCTGGGAGACGAAAAATGCTCCCTAAAGGACACATCTGTTGAAGTGGACATTTTTTTGGTGATGGAGCTTTTCGGAGAAAAATGTTGGAATTGCTAAATTATTTTTGTACTGTATTTCGAAGTTTTTGGTGTAAGTGACACTCGAGGACAACCATCGTTCGAAAAAAATGTGGCTGCTCGAAAATGAACGTGGAGAATTTTTTCGGTTTGCATGTTCCCGTCAATCGATTGAATCCGAAAATGACTTTAAAACAAAATTCAAGATACTTATTTGCTTTACTTTTCTTTCGTAGCATCCCACGTATTTATGGAATCTAGAAATAACTTGGTATGAGGAGGATATTGTTGTAGAGGCGCTATTTAAGGCGAAGATCCCAGAATCTAATTTTCCTTGTAGAGAATTATTGAATGTCTTTATATGGAATATCGGTTCATTTCCCGATTTATTAGAAGGGGACTTTCTCTACAACGAAATTCGAGGGACCAGAAAAAATGCGTGGTACAGAGAAATTCGGTGTAGAGAACTCTCATAACATGGAGAGAAAACCTAATGAGACCACGTGAAAAATCGTTGAAGAGAGAGTCCACTTGTATTTTCATTTATTGATGAATATTATTGTTCGTATTCGCTCCCATACCTTCTTCGTCTAAGCGAGATTTTCTTTCTCATTTTCCGTGAACTGCAGGGATGTTTTGAAGTTCACGGGAATTTCGTCGACTCATCAATGCTCTCTGGTATTTTTTTTCCTAGCTACTGCGATCTTTTGTTTGATTGTGAATTACGTCCTTTGAATATCCCGGTGATTATAAGTTCTAGTCTCATGAAGATGAATCATCCGGCGAAATTTTCACCTGATTGAGGAATTATCGTGCGTTTCAGGGCATTATCTGAGACCGAAAGTGTGTGTATTGATAGTGTCTTCCCAAGTTCAAAAAGTAAATATTGTTACTGGTATTTTCATGTTTTTCTTGCTGTCGTAAATAAAAATAAATCTTTTTTTTTCTGCAGGATTGTATCGTATCAGAAACGGACGAAGAAACGTGCGACGAAGACGAAGTTAAAAAAGAAGACCCTGTCTTGCCCATCAAACCCGTTTCTTCTGTCTCACAATCATTTGCCGAAGAAGCGAAAGATGAAGAGGAGAATAACTTGATTCTGGGAACTCCTACTTCCCAGCGTCGACGCAGCGGGTGGGTTTTTCTTCGGATTAATACCCTTAGTTAATGTGGATTTTTCCCTGCTCACGTCCGTCGGAAAATGGGTTTTTCATGCACCATGGAAATGTCCAGTTTCAATTTGATTCTTCTTGCTTAAAAAAAGGACATTTAAAAACTTTTGTCTGAAACACGTTTGTCGTCACGAAATGTGTATATTCTTTCCTCGTAACTTTTGAAATAACTGTGAAATTCCGTTAAAAGTAACGTTTGTGGTTCCGATAATTTTTTTTTTCGGAACCATGCTGTAATGATTTTGTTTCCAAAAACTAATTAATCTCAATAGACTGCATTTTTTGTCTTGATTTTGTGAATGATTTATCGCAATTTTTACTTATTTGCACAAACGTGGATAAATCGTAACTTTTTTGGATTAAAACCCGTAGAAAAGAATAAATGTTCATTTATTGTCCCAAAAAAATTAAATTATGGAAAATTTGAAAGTTTCTCATCAAAATTTCTCTAGCTCTATTTTAGAATTTTGAAATGTTTCATATCAGGAAATAAATCATAAATAAATTGGTGCTCTTCGTAGGCATTCAATTTTTGTTTAGTTTATGCATAAATTGGATCAGTGCAACAGGTCAAGCACAAAATAATTGAATTTCTTCTACATTTTTAATTTTTCGTCCTTGTTCCATCCCGAAAGAGTTGGAAATAATGAAAATTCGTCGAATTCATTTTGTGGGAGCACTTCAAATCGTGTATCATCTGTTTTCCCCAAGATGTCAGTCTTAAAAACACCATAAATCGTGAATATGGTAATGTTTTTCTTTTCACAGGCCTGTGGGAATTTCGTTCTATATGTATTTTACTCTACAGGGTTAAATTCAGCTTGAAATATTCCGGGCCAACCCTTCTTTCCGCCTTCTCTCATTTCTGCGTTGATATTCTGTTTAAATAGTGTGCCTGGAACGATCGGAAAGGAAGCAGTATTGGAGACGAAACCCCGGCCGCGGTTCACGGCGCTCGTGACGTCCTCATTAACTGGTAATCATCGAAATAGAATCGATCATTTTTTTTCTTTCTTTCCCTCTGCGAAACAATCAGCATGGACATCTTGATTTAATTTTTTGTGTGTGTTTGTGTTCCAGCCCGCGAGAATGTAGCTGTGCAAAAATTTGTGAAGCGGTTCAACGTGCCCTACGCGCGGGATTTCAGTGGGGCAGATGGGTGCGAAGTGAGTCACGTGATCGTGCATCAGGACGAGGAAACCGGAGGAACCCCGCGAACCATGAAGTACCTGATGGGCATCTCGAGGAAGAATTACGTCGTCACCGTCGGCTGGCTCTTGAAGTCTCTCCGGGAAGGAGCCCTCGTCGATGAGGTCCGTCGTACGAATAAATAAATAAATAAATACTGTGTATAAAATGAAATTTGATTTTTAAAAAAAAACGGTTTATTCGTTTATACTGTAAACGTGTGTGACTGTCGTTCAAGTTGAATTCGTTACGAGTACTGTACCAAGTTTCGTGTTTAGAATTCTTGAAGCGAGCAGCTTCCGTATTCCAGTTGCCAAGTTGTTTTTTCAACTGCTGACCTAGCTTCCTGAAATTTCTGGCAGGTGTCACGGGAATGTTGGTGACCCGATTGTGAATCGTGCTATCAAACTTGATCTTTAATAATATGGCAAATTCTGGCATATTTTATCATTAGACGCTTTTCTATTTCCTCGGAAATTGTGTGAGGAAAATAAGGACGCGTCTTATTCCCGATGGCATCTTACATCTGATGGATTGAGGTTCGCAGGAAAGAAAAATTGGATTATATATTGTAAATTCCGTCGTTTTTACAAATTATCCCGTTTATAAATCAGTGAAAGAACTTTTTTCCTTCAGTTGGAGCTTTGATTTCGATTGCGTGAGAGTTGAAGTAATAATTTTAGTGCGGGTAGAATTTAGTAACTTACAAAAATTGTTGATGCAATGGAAGTGCATTTTTACATTTGCAGGCATGGGTCAAAGTATTTTTCATCCACAAAAATTCAAATGTTTTCTATCTACGAAGTATGTACAGTGATTTAGGCGAGACCCACGAAAAGCAAGAGAATTCGGCCTATCGCACGTTGAAGTAAGAAGTAATGTCGAGTCTTTTTCAAATTTGCAGACAGATTCTGGTCAAATTGCCGTGAGATTCGAAAAGATGCTTCCATGTGAATGTCCTCTTATGTCAAGATTTGAGGCGAGGGTTGAAAAAAAAAATTTTTTCAATGAAGGCAAGAACATGAAAATCTGGGGACAAATGCAGAGTTTGCAGACAAAACAAATTCTTTTTTTTTCTCTCCATTTCCGTACTAAATTCGTCATTGATTTCGTTATCAATTCTGTGGTTCAACGCTAGGGTTGATATAAGCGGAATGCCGATTTTTAGCCCAGGATTTCAGCTGAATTTGGCGTTTATGATTTTTAGGACGAGTTTGTTGCCGTTGGAGACGAGGGACCGAAAAAGACTTTGGAGGTGCTTCGAAAGCCGCTGGACGGAATCACAATATGCATCAAGTCCTGGGAGAAAACTATGAAATTGGACGAGCTGAAGGTCAGAATGCACAGTATTCACTCTCACAAAGGCTCCGTCGAAATGTCAACGGCAAATTCTGAGTGGAAAAACTGCGTAGGCAGCAACAACAAAAATATACATTTTTGATGAAAAAATGTGACCTATTCCCAAGCAGAATGAAGTTGAAAGCCCTGAAAGTTTCAAATGAAATTAAGTCTCAAGCACCAATGATTAAATTCTATTCACGTGCTGTGTTACATGATCATGACTCGGAAATTGGCGAATTGAGCATACTCTTATACATGAGTATTCTAATTTGAAAAAGTTTTTTTTTTTTATTAAAAAAAAATTGGCTATCAAAAATTGATATACGCCTTATATTTACTGATAAATTGCATGATTAATTCTGAACAACCCTGTGTATATTTTAAAATTAAAAATTGAGTCCACAATTAAATCGAACAAGTCTTGATCATCAGTTTCAGGCCAAAGTAATCATAATTATATTCCTTAGATCAGGGAAAAGCGTTTTAAGAAAGGCAGCGTGCAACTAAACTTCAAGTTACAAAGGTAGAATTTCCTGACTCCTTTCTCACTATAATGTAAATGAGATTGAATCTTATTTTCTCGCAATGTTTTGATTGCGCGAAAAAGGTTTGTCTTGCATTCACTCAAGTACGAGTTGCATTTCTTTGCTTAGAATCTCGTTACAACGAAGCATTTGGGACCTTGAAAAAAAAAGCTTCGTTATCAACGAAAATCCGTTAAAAAGGAATAAAAAACATTGTGGTTATTGTACAGGGACCAAAAAATAAATTCGTTGTATGCATTAATTCGTAATAACGAGATTATACTATATAAGCCGCAACGTAGTCTCACATTTTCCAACTTATACTCGAAAAAAATGTTCAGACTTGGGCCTTTACAGAGTTAATTATTTGGTTCATTTGTGAGAATGTATAGACGGTATTTTGTCAATTTTTTTTTACCTGATCAATGACTTCAATTTTCGTCTTTTCTTTCTCCACAGACACTTGCGACTAACATGGGTGCTGTCATCTTGAGCAATTTGTTGGAGTACACTGGTGTTGGATTTCTCGTCGTCTTGGTGTCGGAGGAATCTTATGACAAACGACTCGCTGAACGTACGTTTTACAGGGTTGCCCAGAAATGGATCGATTTTTTTTCTGAACAGTGATGCCACCTTTTCTTTTTTGGCGAAAGGTCCCTTGCACAATTTATTACATTTTTTAAATTTATTAATCTGTGAATGGTTGAGATTTTTGTGACGATCCACAATGATTGAAAATTTGTCAAGAAGGATGTCTCATAAATTCGTGAAATTCCAGTTTTATTCTGCCCTTCGTGTCTAGAAGTGTGTGTGCAGTATCCTGTTTTAAACTGAAGTCCTTTGATGATGAAAAGTGTTTTCAGTTTGTGCTTAATATTTTTTCAAAAGCAAAACAAAATGGGCGTCGTTTTCCAAATTTTCAAGTGGCACTTAGAAAAGGAGGGCCGAGACAATCACTATTATAAAAAAAAATTTTAAGGAAAATTATGCTTTAAACCAGATTTCTCGTATCTTCGAGTTTTTGGGAGACAGTTGCTTTATGTGGTCCAATGTTGTAGAATGAAATTGTCATTCAAAAGGGCAATTATCCAGGATCAAGATTAATAAAAATCCTTGGAAATATAGGAAGTTTAATTTAATTTGTGGTAGCTTAAATTTTGCACATGGGGTTATTGGAAATTTGGGGCCTTTTGTGTTTCCTTTTTTTGCATTTGGTGGTAGCTGAAATTTTTTACAAATATAACGCTCAATAAAATTTGGTCCCCTTTATTTTTTGGTCCTACCCCCTTATTATTTTGGGGATTTAACCCAGTTAAAAATTAAAATGATGAAAATATAGGAATTTTAATTTAACTTGTGGTACCTAAAATTTTTCGCATGGGGGTCATTGGAAATTTGAGACCTTTTATGTGACTTTTTGCATTCAAGGCCAGCTTCAATTTTTCACAGGGATCATTAATTGAAAATCGGTCCACTTGTTTCATTTTGGTCCACCCCTCTTCTTTCTTGAGGGTTCAGCTGCATTAAACTTACTGATCTTTTTTTCTTTTATGAATCCTTGCAGGACTGTGGGGCTTCGGTGCAGCACTGGTATGTGTGGAATGGCTCATTGAGTGCGTGTCAACCTACGGTTGTGTTCCCTTGTACGAGTATTTCTTCCACGTGGAACTGAGGGACAGTTTGTTGTCGCTCGACTTTGAGCCAGCGGAACTGTTCCAGATGCCCATGGATTTGTCGCAGGAAACTAATGCACCGCTTCAATCGGACCACGTTAAAGGCGTCAGTTTTGGTACAGTTTTGTAGAGAAGCCTGTGCAGAAGGAAGAAGATTGAAAGCTGGATTTCTTCCTGATTGAGGGTGGAAAATCATTGGTATGGTTTCCTGTGACTTTTCGGTTCTTTGTTTTTTATACGATTTCTTGAGAAAATGCCATAAAGCAGATGCGAGAACTTGAATTGCGGAGTATTTTTTTCTCTTATTTCTTTTGAAGTTCTAATAGGATGATGAGTGTTTCCTAATTTAGAAAGGCAAATGCGTTAATTTCGTGGCCAACGGAGTCATGAAATTGATGCTTGAAACAATTAAAGTACTGTACTTCAATGGTTCTGAACACACTGTATATTGTATGCCCTTTTCAAAAGTCATCCCTTACATGACTGCATGGAAGGGCTTCACTGGTGCTAGGGAACACTGCATCCCTTACAGCAGTGTTCCCAACCTTTTTTTTTTTGCAGATGCAAATTTCCATAAAAGTTGTTTGTGGACCAGGTGATTTCCTTAAAAGTTCCTGCTGACCAGCAATGACATAACTTTTGATACAAATTTTCATGTGTGTTATTTTTATCTAAAATTTTGGAAAGACAATGGCAGTATAAATAAATTACCTGATGAAAAATAAAACTTGACTTTTCCCCTAAAACCACTTCAGACAAATTTTATCTGGCTAAAATGAATTGTTTCAATTTTCATCCCAAGAAACCATTCTTCAAGCCCGCATTACTAATTTTTGGAAGACATTCCCCTAAAGCTGCTTCACTGATGCTCAACATAATTTTTCACAAGAACTCAACACTTTTTAAATGCCTTCCATGAAGTCTTTCAAACATAACTTTATTGTGTATGCAATCAAAACAATTGAAGAAACTTAGCCAGTTTTCTGAATATTTTTTGGAAATTTGCATGTCTTCAAAAAATTTAATGTAAATTTTCCAGTCTGCAGGCCAGAACAGGTTGGGGAAAACTGCCCCAAGCAGGTTGATCAACAAAAAAATTAGAATAACATAAGAAATGAAGGAGCGGAGTCCGGGATTAGCAAAATGTTTATTGAGTGGCTCGCAAATGATCAATTCACATGGAAGCAAAAAGGAAACATTTTTGCCCAGATTTCTGCAGGTGTACAACTGTTCCTGGATATGAGATCGTAGAGCCATGAATGAATTTTCCCCTGCAGCGGGTTCTGAAGTCATGGGTGAAAACTGAATGACACAGCGCAGAGTCCAGACGAGACGAGACATTTAGAGAGAACAGAATCGGCAATTTTCCAGAATCACATATCCATGGTAAACGGAATACAAAAATAGAATGATTAGACATCACCAACCAATGGTAGGCAGTATCCCCATCTCAAAAGTGAGGAACCAGGACAGGGCTCACGCAACACTTCCAAGTGACAAAAAAACGCAATGCACTCTGCTCAAATATGCGGCACCAGGTAAATTGTTTTCAAACTAGAAAATGACTAGAACAGATTTGTATGAGAAAAAAGGGACTACAAGCTCTACGTCTTCTTAACCTGATCCGTTAGCGATTACCCCGATTTTTTCTCTAAGCCTTACCGTTATTCAAATTTACACACCTTTTTTTATATAAGTAGCAAAAAACATTCCATGTATACAAAAAAAGCTCATTGCAAACGTCATCCCGAATGAAGCTTTGAGTTCTTTTTGCACTGAAAACTAACTATCTGTAAGTCGTAATTTCTACCAGTGTCCCAATTAATATCGTGATCAGCTTGATGAGTATCAACAAGTCTCGCAAGCAAGCATAATTGATGTGATCTCTGAACACAGGCGTTGACCTTGAGCCAAGCTTTTAAGTCAGTAACTCGTGTACATTTTCTTTTATCATTATACACAAATGAATGGATAACTGAAAAAAAGTTTGGCAAAACAACAACCCCTTCCAGAGCAATGTCACACAACACTTTTTCTTTCCTTTTTTTTTTTGCAAACGTTTCCCGTTTCCGTATCATTTTCCGCAAGAGCAAGAAAAAACAGCATCATATGCACGAAAGAATATGGCAATCGAATTGACACGTATGCGTAAACAGTAAAAATTCTGAAAAGTGACGCTGCAATTTGGCAGGATCCGCATAGTGATGTTGATAATAATAACCCTCAAAATTTTTTTGTTTTTGCAAACTTGGCATATGCAAAAAACCGAAAGGAAAAAGCAAAATCACGCATGCAAAATTCTTCATCCACGGTATCCAGGACAATCCCAGTGAGGGGGTAAGTAAAACCTTCCAACCAGCTACCAGCAACAGGTGCACACCAAGTAATATGGCTCAGGTAAGTTTCCGCCCGCTAAGGTTTCACACGTCTACCACCATTTTCTTGTGCACGTCCGTATTTCCCACAATCTGCAGACAAATTGAAAAAAAAATAAAAGAAACGCTTGAGCAACTTTATAAAAAAAAATTCTCACATGAATTTAATTATTTAGAGCTGAACATATTTTCAAGCATTGCATCGTACATTCGCAAGTTTCATCCAAATTAGTCAAACATAATTTACTGGGTAAATTTAGACGTAACTTGATCGACCCAATTGATGTAATTTTCAAATTCAAACAACAAGTGACTCCTCTGGAGCAAGTCCATTTTTTAAAGTCTGAAAATGTAGTCGAAATTAGACAGTGATGTAATTTCTGGATAAATCACGGGAAATTGTGCTCTAATTTGACAAAACATTTTTCACAAGCAATAAGAATGGACTGACTAAAAGAGCATGGATTCCACAACAACCAAATAAATTTCAGTCCAGTATTTCAAAATAGACTCAGGAAATTATCTTCCTGTCCAATATGTTTTTGCGAGTTCAAAATTAAAGTTTTACAGACAGGAAATCATTGAATTTTGAAATTTTTTGAGTTTCAAAAGGCCATGAAAACCGCAATATTGCATTCAATATTCTATTTAAAATGCAGTTTCACGAAGTATTTGAAAGAGCCAAAAGCTGAGATTTTTTCTAGCATAAATTCAACCTCGAAGTTTACTCGATCATAAATTCAACTTGGAAAAAAAAATTTGTATACAACACTTGGAATAAACTTTTCTTTTTGCTCCGGCAATTTATTTCTGAGCTGGATTTTAAAAATTATAATGGTAACTAAAATGCGACACGAACAGACTAGAACAAAATTCACAGACAATTGACTTAATCTTCCTAGTCTGAATTATAACATATATTTCCTGTTTCTTAAAAAAATTTTCACTTCAAATTTGTCAGATCTACTCGGTACAGGCCAGCACAAGAAATGCATAAATTACGATTTCAAAATTACACGATGTATATTCGTATTCATGCAAATATTACACAGAACTGTAATATACCTGGTTCAAAAAATTTTTCAAGACCAAGAAAAAATTGAACCCAACTCTCTGACTGCCTGACAAAGAAACTGTTTTGAAAACGTTCTGAATTATCTTATGAAGTGTATTGCAGGAAATATATTTTGTATGTCGTCTCATTTTCAACGCGCTCCGTTTTGAGACGTGTTCAAGCGTACGGCCAAAAAAAAAGAAATACGTACAGAACAGAATTCTTCAAATGATATTTTCCCGTCTTCGTCCTTGTCATGGAACAAGATCGTCTTGTCAACAATTTGCTGCAATTGCGCATCCTTGAGGTTGTTGCCGACCATCATTTTCAACACCTGAAAATCACGTGAAGAATTCCTAGTTAAAAATCGTGACAATAGCCATCAAACTGGAACCGACTAATGACATTCCCATGTGAATGATTATTTTCGGTCAACAAGGGTGGGTTTTGGAACCCTCATGGAAAAATCCGAATCTCGCGTACATGCGATAGCTGATTCAAGAAGTGGAGAATGAATCAAGAGAATTGTGTCAAATAAAGGTTGATAATTGGAAAAAAGAGAGGAAATCTTGGCATCATTTGAAACTGCTGAGGGACTAGAAAAAAAATTACTGATTTTGGTCTTCAAATTAACTTTAAATTGTAAAAACTAAATCATTTCCTCAGTTGAAGGGCCAACTTAAAGTCACATTTATTGTCAGAATATTTTTTCGTCATAAATTTGGAAAAAAAACATTTTCCAATTCTTGAAAAAAATTAGCGATTAAAAAGTTCCAATTCACGCACTTGGGGAAATAAACGGAGATTTGCACAGTCTCCCACAATTCAATCAACTTTCAATTCGAAACAGTTCAACGTTAATCACATGTGTAATGCGGTCAAGAAGTGATACATTTTCAGAGAAATCAGAGGTTGTCAAACGCAGGAATACTTTCAAATCCAGTTCTTGTACTCACTCGATACAATTCACCATTTGATATGAAACCGTCATTGTCCATGTCATAAATTCGAAAGGCAAATCTCAGCTTCGACTCCTTGTCTCCTTTCACACTGAACTGCGAAACTCCTTGGATGAACTCTGCAGAAAATCGGAAACCCAATGAATCAGTGCTTGGAATAATCCCTGCGCAATTAATACCTTGCCTTCTCTGGAATGATTGAAAATGACATGAATATACTTTGATTGTACACCTCGAAGTTACATTTAAATCGAATAGTTTGTCCCACGAACTCACCAAAATTTCATAATACACGTTAATTTAGCATATTCTTCTTAGTTTTCAGCATAAATTTGTGAATTGATTTGAATGTCAATTTCAAACTGACTTTTGTTGAGTTTAGGTGATTTTGATAAGTTTTTACTATTTACACATTTTACAGTATCTTTATGAATTTCACAAATATTACAAATAGGAAGAGGCAAAAATACGCCTCTGTTCAAATATTGTCCTCGATATTTTCGAAAAATTACAAGCGTCAGTTTGAATCTACCAGCCGAAATTTGATCGTTTTCCAGCCAAAAAGGTTGTCAAGTAGGTTTCGAGATTGGGAAACAAGCTTTTTATGGTGGGAAGAACATGCAATATTTATAGGAAATTGTAAATTATCATATTATGGGCCTTGAATTGCTTCTTGAATGAATTGTTAGAATGCTGAAGTTGAAGGCCAGGGTTCACTTGACGAATTATTCTTGCAATTCCTTTCAAAGCACATCAAGTTACATTTTTATCGCTTTTCACTTTCGTGCGTCAATGAAATAATATCGAAAAGACCTCCAGAAAATTTGGGTTACGGTTTGACAGGGAAAGCCTTCCCCATTAGGGATGTGTTCAATGCCTTGCTTTTTAGGGATTCAGAAAATTTCTTGAATTAAATTTGAGGTAGGGAGGTCAGAGTTGTTGAGGAGAAAACAGAGAGTAAACTGATGAAGGTTTCCTCCTGCATCAGCTGATGATGCAGAAAGCAAATTATATTTCAAATTTCACGAGTCAGTCTATCCTGAACTCTTGGACAATCATCTTCTTATGAATCTCATCCTTTTAAATGATTTGTGTGCACAAATCTGTGTGTCATCAAATTGTGTTTTTCAAATCTGTTTTGTGCATTGCTTGCGCTTACTCTCTGACATTTCAATCTATTCAACTCTGCTGAAACTGTTAATATAAATAATTAAAAACTAGGAAAATATATGAGGGTTCTAACAAAAGTTCTTGGAGTAGCAATGAAAATGGCTTACAATTGAGTTGAAAAAAATGTATTCTTTAGGGAAAACATAATCTTTGGCACACAAAAAATATCAGCCCTGTTTGACAAATTTTTTTTAATTTTTTCTCATAATTCACCCTGGCAGAGTTTTGCTCTCCACTCAGAAGATGAGGCACCCTTTTTTGTTGTAGCCCTGCTTTCTCTCAGAATTTCTGAAATCAATTCGGCATTCTTTCTAAGGGTTGCCTCCAGGTCATCCAATCCCATTCCGCAATTTTCATCAATAGCTGCCATCACAGCCGCCACATTGGTCGCCATTTTGGCAGCTGTGAAGGCGGATATTGATGAAAATGGCGGATATTGATGGAATTGCCTTGGATGACCTGGAGGCAACCCTTAGAAAGAATGTCAAGTTGATTTCAAAAATTCTGAGGGGAAAGCAGGGCTACAACAACAAAAATCTGCAGGAAAGCCGCCTCGTCTTTTGAGTGGAGAGCAAAACTCTGCCAGGGTGGATTACGAAAAAATTTCAAAAAAAGTTGTCAAACAGGGCTGATATTTTGTTGTGCGCCAGAGAATATGTTTTCCCTAAAGAAAAATTTTTTTCAGCTCAACTGTAAGCCATTTTCATTGCTACTCTGAGAACTTTTGTTAGAAGCCTCGTTTTCAAGGAAACCCTTTGATTATGTGTTTTTGGTCTTCAAAAGGTGGACTACCTATATTTTTATTTATGTTCTTTGTGATCCTTGATCACGAGTCATCAAGGTCCAGCTGTACTTGAATAAAAATCAACAACTCACCTTTAAAGTCAACCTCGCCGTTGCCATCTGCGTCAAATATGTCAATCACGCGTTGCACCAGCGGATTCTGTTGCAGCTCTGGCAACGACATGAACTCCTCTACACTCAAGGCACCCGAGTTGTCTAAATCCAATTTTCGGAAGCGTTTCCCAAGCC